TTTGTATTATCTAATAATGATTTAGTGATATTAACAAAATAGTTATTAAAAGTGTTACATATTTCAGTTATATTTTCGATTATTATATCATTAGTTACTATTTTATTGATAGTTTGTTTGTCTGGTTTTTTATTTAGCATGTTATTTATTGCATTCCATTTTCTTTTCGCGTCATTTTTATATTCGAGAAATTTATTATTAAAATATTGATTTTCTAAATGTCTTTTATGATTAGTGAATTTATTTCTAAATTTTTTTATACGTATTATAATTTTCTGAAGTAGGGTTAACTATGTAATTTTTAAACAACTTATTTTGCAGACGTGACATACATAACACTTCTTTATTAACCCATGACTTTTTATTTCTGCGTTTACAAGATCGCAAAGGAGCAAATGTATTTAAGACAGTATTTATTATTTTGTACAGAGGTAAACAGGCTATTTCAATATCGTTTTCGCTTGTGATAGGAGTCCAGTTAACAGTAGCTAGATAGGCGTTAATCATGTTAATGTTGCTGATTGTTAAACAACGTTGGAATGGAGGGATAAATTTATCTGTCGATAAACTAGAGCAGTGTGAAATCGAGAAAATTGGATAATGGTCGGACAAATCAGATATAATTATGCCACTATTATACGTTTCAGAGGAATTTGTAAAAATATTATCTATTAAAGAACTAGAATTTGGGGTTACTCTTGTTGGTGAAAAAATTAATGGAACGAAGCCGTATGACAACAGCAAATTCTGAAATGACATTGCGTGTGTCGAGTCTAAGTTTAGGATCACTGGGCAACAAAAAAAATATTTTTTTTTGTATCCTTAACTTTTTTAGTCAAATTATACTAATTTTGGGGTAAGAAAAACGAAAATGCAAACAAAAATTTTTTTATTAGCTCTAGTTTCTGAGATATACAACAACAAAAAAATTTTTGGTTTTGCTTATTCACAACATAACAATATGACATATAATTTACTTATTTTAATAATATTTAAAGTGCATTTAGTTTTTTCAATAAAGATTACATTCTAACAGTTTTAAACAATGAAAAATAATAAATATAAAAAATATTATGTAATATTTTCGCGCGATTGTGCCATTTTTGCTTTCCGCCTGTATGCGAGCTCTGGAGCATCCCTACATATAAACCAACATTAATCTGCAAGCATAGCTTCATTCCAACGACCCTCATATCTTTTTTCCATTACAGAAATATCTTGGTGGGACCTTTCTCTATGTTCATCACTAACAGCTCCACAAAGTGGAAAGAAGTCTAAATGTGAGTTGAGGAAGTGAATCTTCAAGGACATGTTACGTCTTAGTTGATGGCATTTTTGCAGAAGTACTGTTAACAATTGGATGTAGTTATCATCTCTTCTGTGGCCTAAAAATCCACAAATCACTCCCTTG